ATGATAACTCTGGAACAACTCATCTGAAATAAAAAAATCAAATAGATTTTGTTAATATATTCCTATGCGGACCTCGTGAACGAAGGGTTTACCGAAATTGGTGTTTTTAAAAAAATGGTGACGATTTTTCTAAAAAGTTCGATTTTTGGTGTAAAAAAAATCAGGTTTTTGACCATAAAAATGTTAATTTTTGTGCAAATAAAAATTCCTTCGTTCACGAGGGAGCCATTGTAATTAGAAATAAACACGACAAAGATTTAAATCGATCGGTGAAATGGTTTTCGAGAAATCATGCTCACCGCAACGATACTTTTGAAAAAACAAAATTCCGAGATAATCGCAGTTAAAGATTCAGGTTTAGTTTTTTCATGAATAACATTTTTTTTTTTCGGACTTACATAGTATCATCTATTCCTGGACCATAAAGAGTCCCTTCTGCATCTGCGGTATACTCCAGGTAGCTTTTTTTGGCTTTGTCTTCTTGCTATTTTTCCCTCCTTTTTTTTTTTTTCGAAACGCACTAGAACTGCTTTCGTCGAGCGCTATAAATAGCCATAACTTTGGTTCTACTGCTCCGATCGTTATGAAACTTTCAGAAAATATTGTTCAGAGGTTGTACTTTCATAAAATATAATTTTAAAAAATCGTTTTTTTCGTCAAATCTAACTGAGTATAACCCCTTAAACAGAAGGTTAGTGAAAGAGCTGGATGTGAAGGAAGGGTGGAGTAGGTCGCAGGCTGGTTTTAGGAAAGGAAGAGGAACAGTGGAAAATGTTATGATCTTGAAGTATGTAGTTGGAAGAAGGTTAAATCAGAAAAAGAAAGTATGGGCATTTTTCATGGATTTAAAGGCAGCCTTTGATAGAGTGGATAAAAACGTTCTGTGGGAAATGATGAGAAAAAGAGGGGTGAATGAAGGTTTAATAGATAGAGTGATGGAGGTTTACGAGGAGACGAGATGTGTTGTGAGGATAGGGGAGAAGGTATCAAAGGAATTTTGGGTAGAAAAGGGGGTAAGACAGGGTTGCCCAATGAATCCGACTCTGTTTAACATATATATGGAGGATATTGAGGACAAGTTAAAGAAAGGGAAGGGAGGGATTAGGGTGGGAAATGATAAGATGTGGTCAATAGAGTATGCGGATGACATCATGCTGCTAGCAGAAGAAGAGGAAGGATTAAGAGATATGATAAGGAGAGTAAAAAGGTATATAGAAGGGAAAAAGCTAGAATTGAGTATCGAGAAGTCTAAGGTGATGGTGTTCAAAAATAAGGGAGGAAGGGAGAAAGAGAGATTCTGGTGGTGGGGAGATAAAAGGATAGAGGAAGTGAAAGAATATAAATATTTAGGGTATGTGATAACAAGACATGGTGGGGATAAAGAACATGTGAGGGAAAGGGTAAGAAGAGCGAGAGTGGCAATGGGATGGGCATGGAGTTACGGGGAGAGAAAATTTAAGGGGGATATAAGATGGAGGCTAAAATTGTTTGACAGTATAGTGAAAGGAATCCTATTTTATGGAGTGGAAATATGGGGATACAGAGAGTGGAGGGAAGTGGAAGCGATCCAAGAAAAATACCTGAAGTGGATCCTAGGTTTAGAGAAGGTAACACCGGGGTATATAGTAAGGGAAGAGTTAAAAAGAAATAAACTGAGAGTAGAAACGGGATGGAGGGCAGGGAAGTTTGAAGAAAAATTAGAGAAAGGAGAGGGAGGGGATATTGGGAGGATGTGTATGATTGAGAAGAGAAAGAGTGAGAGAGAGAATGATAGAAGTGAATAGACAAAAGAGAGTGTGGAGAGGGGGAATTATCTATGGAGAGGAGGTATGAGTGAGGTAGCTATGAAGGAAGGTGGAGAGAACAAGTGGGAACGCCTGAGGGAAAGAGATATAGAAGTTGACGTACAAGAAAGAGGAGAGAAAGTGAGAGCGTCTAGGCTTTGCGCGAGTTATAGGAGAGTGTGTGGGATACCATTGTACATAAGAACGTGTAAGAGGAATGAGGGAAAAAGACTGGTGAAAATAGCGAGGTGGAGATGCGGGAATGAAGAGAGGGGGTATAAGTATTGGTTGAATGAGGAGGAGAGGAAGTGTAGATTGTGTGCAAGAGGGAGGGAGAATGTGGATCATTTAAAGTATGAGTGCGAATATGTGAGGGAGAAAGGAGAAAGAAATATAAATGTAGATGTTTTAAATGAGGATGGGAGAGGAATCAGATGGATGGAGATGGTAGAGCGAGTCAGAGGAGAGAGAGAG